TAGCAATGTAACCTTCAAGAATGAGTAGTTATGCCACTAAAAGAAAGTGAAGAAATTTATACTGGCTGACTGGGAAATTGTGAAACAATGTTATCTTCTGCTTGGAGAGAAAACGTTTCCAGTGGACAGCATGAACTGTACTACTGGTTCTTCAACAACAAGTAGTAGTAATAGTGAATGCAAGCTGAGGCATTTACATTCTCATGTGCTGACATGTAAGATGTATCCCTCGGGGATTTTCTCTGAATACAATTGAATTCAAGTACTAAATCAATTCTAACTAAATTCCTGTGAAAAATCTAATTAGAAAAAAAACCTTGTACAGGTGAAAAATGAATCCAGAATTTTTGGTTTGGATGTGATTTATTCCTGTCTTTGTGCGGAGCAGGGTATCTCAAATGTTGTGTTGCATGCCATACTGGAAAAGGCTTATCTTTTTTATCACAAAAGTATTTATCCTTGGTCCTTGTGCAAGCTTTTTGCTAGTCTCAGTGCTTTTCAATATTAAGGTGAAGAGGAATCTATCAAGGACTCAGTCCTTCCAGACTGAGTAACTGATGGATAACCAGGTGACCACAGAAAAGGAGAGATGGGCCCTTACATGAAGTTTCACTGTTGCTAGAGAGAAGAAGGCAAATTATTAAACGAAATACTTTTAAGACAGAACAAGTTTACCCTTCCTAATACATTTTATTGCTTATGTAAATTTTAGCGTAAAAGCCTGTACTGTTTGTATGCAGTACTACAGGGCAAACCTAGAACGGCAAGCAGCATTTTCAAAGTGATAGTTGTGAGCCAACATTTGGCACAATTTCTCCGAGTGATTTATGCAGCTCATAGATGGGGAAACGCTTCACCAAGAAAATAAAAATAGCAGGAGAATTATGTCATTGGCACTGTCATTGACTAAAATTAATTAATGGTGCTGTGCCTTCATTATAATGAAAGGGCTGAGTAAGGACACAGTTAATCAGAAAAAACAGTGATCAATTTGTAGCTTTACTTTATTTTCATGTGTATATACCATAGAGACTGATGCATTCTTAAAAGCACAGAAGCATCATTTATATATGTGGCTTGGAAATATAGCCCTTGTTAATTGATCAGTGTATAATAAAAAAAAATATATTAGGCTTCTTATAGATTAATAAAAAGGTATCAGGAAATTTGTTTTCTAGGAAATTCTTTGATGTTTCAGTGTTTCTTTTTATTATTTTTCATTAATTGTAATTTTAATCCTTTTTACTTCTTTCCTGAGTGCAGAACTGCAGCTGGCCTTCAAAGGTACGTGTCAGTTTGTCCAGTAGAAATATAAGTAACTTTCATACATTTAGAAGATTTTAAGTAGCTGTTAGTCCATGTGCAAAACTGATCCTTCATAAAAGAAGTGCTATGTTGAATAGTAGTACCCTGCATCTTGTGAATAGTGGTAACTCCTTGTTTGGGGAAAAATAATATAATGGTACAGTGATTGAACTGGGCATAATTGCCCGCAGCATAGATTTGTGTAAATCATAGTTAGGAAGTAGTATGACCTTTAAGTAAACTTTGAGGCAGTACAGAAGGCTTGTTATATGCTGAACCATTGAAAATCACGCGATTCAAATAAAATGGCTACCTTGGTTATCTTGAGTAGGGTACAGAAATGGCAATCAAAAGACTATGTGGAAGCACATGGATGCATTGCAGGGTACTTCTATTGTTTTCTTAAACCAAAACAGCACTCCAGAATATTATGATAGGGAATTCTAATACATCTGAGTATTCATGGCATAAAGGGTTGGGGTTTTTTACCATTTGTTGTGGTTGTTAGCATCGTTTAGGGGGAAAAAATAACTACCAGTTGATTGCTGTCAGCTGGAGAGATTTGTTTGTTCTAGTAATATTCCATCTTTCCTAATCTGTGGTCTTGCTAGTCCCCCAAATATACATGCTTTTCTTAAATAGCTGTTGAACTTCTGTCACTTGTATTTCAGCAATTACTTTGCTACCTGACAGTGAAAATGTAACTGGCTTCTCTGGTGCAAATGCAGTTTCTAAATTACAGAGGTTTCCTTAAAAGAGCTAGGGTGTTTTATACTGACAAACATTAATAACTTCATGAAGTAACATCCCCAGGAGTTCCAGGGGCATATCAAAATGTGAAGTATTTATTCAGTTTGTGACTCTAAGAAGTATCTTCTTGTTTGTGAGTGTATTTACTCTATTGCATTGATCCTTCTCAGATTTTTGTTTCTGAGTTTTGTGTCTGTAGTCCCCAAATTAGGTGATTTCCCTTTTCTTTTTTTTTAGTGTTTTGGATTTAACAATTCTAGCTCAAGAACGTATCGTATTTCTAGTGTCTTCATAAAAATAGTTAATTGAAGGTTTTTTATAAATGCTTTCCTGATATATCCCATATATAAGCTGAAGTTTTCATAGTTGCAATAAAATTACTTCTTGATGTTGCAATATAAAAATAATTAGGATTTTTTTAGTTTTAAGAGTAGGCAGTATTTTTTTTTTCAGTTTAAAATCTTTCAGGTGCCTTTCTGCAAAGATAGAGAACAGTAGTACAGTCTTAGAAAAGAAGTTTACACTTAGCTTATGTTTTTTTCAGAAGCCGAGGAAGATAGCCAGAGAAATACTATTTTTGGCATAGCTGAATGATTGCATGAATTTTTAACACCACACAGGGCAGTGTTTCCAAATGCTGTTTTGTGAAACAGGACATCCTATATGCTTCCTAAATGAAATTTTTAGCTACAAAGTTTTCAACTTTAGCATATAAAGTATTTACCTGTCGTTAGCCTTTCTCTTTTTTACTGTCGTCTTCAGCTTGTTCCCAGAGGAAACAAGAGAAGGAATGGGATTTTCATCCACTGGACTTGTCTGTAGCACTCCTATTCAGTCTAATGAAAGATGTCCAGCCTAGAAGTTACTGCCTAAGCATAATATCCCATGAAATGAAAATTACCCCTTGAAGGAGCACGCATATTTTGCTCAAACTTTGATATAAAACTTTAATTTTTGCATTTCCCATTTTTTTCCCAACTTTTTTTTAAGTGTACTTTAGCTCAGAATGCTAACCTTGTATTCTGGTAAGATTATTTTTCATTTTCTAATCATTTTAGTCTTGCTTTTTTCCCTCCAGTATTAAAATCTAATTTTTGTGTGTGAAGCTGGTATGTAAAGTATGATTAAGTTAAATGGATTTATCCCTTTTAATAATGTAAAACTTAGTTTCAGGCAAACCAAGTCATCAGCATACTTTAAAAAAAATGCTGTGAACCTTGGTATCTATTTTTTTAAAGCTTGTATGTACTGTAACATACTCTAAGTAATTATCATATATTACAGTGGTTGCCATTAGTGACTGCTATAATTAAGGTTGCAAATCAGCTTCCATTATAATCTCTTGTTTTCACACAGTCATAACTTGTCAAAACACTAACCTTTGGGACTAAAGTTTTCCATATTTTTTCTGCTTAAAAGTAAATTTGGGAGGAGAGAGGAGGAAAAGGAGTTTGAACTATCCTTCTAGCAAAAGTCTGGTCTTTTTATGTTACAGGATCAAACTGTGTATCAAGGAGCTAAATAGATATATCCAGGGACTAGGAAAACCTAGAAGAGAGATTAAAGGACAAGGAGTACAGAACCGCCTTGAATTTTAATTGCAGTTCTAATTTTGACTAGCCCCATGGTTGCTTTGTTTTGCAGCATCTCTGAGTAATGCGGCAAAGTATGAGTCCTCCTTGATTAGTATCGAAGTCGCACAGCAAAACTACACTATGTAATTCTACCAATAATCAGATGGCAGTCAGATTACAGAGGTAGAGAAGAGATGCCAGGGCCAGTTGTGGATTCATGATTCCAGTTGTGAATCCTAGTCCTCAGTCTGATGCTGGTTTTGGAGGGAAAAGCTTCCCTAAATGTGGGGGGACAATATAAGAAAATATTTACTGTGATTATTTTTCTAGTAGTGGCTCCTAAATGTCAATAATCACTGCAGTGGGCGGAAAATAACACATTCCTGTATGACTGCAGGTAACCCTGTGTGTAAACTTTTTATAGTGACCACTATGCAAAGCTTGTCTAAGTTTCCATTTATGGTATTTCTGGTATGACTTGACAATTTATTTTATCATATAAAGAAATAATGCTTTAAGGCATGATACAAGGGACTGCTTGGGCAGGCAGAGTTGAAGGATAACCTTTCAACCCTAACATTCATTTCCTGTGCTTGTTTTAACATCGCTAACATTACATTAGCACCTTTTTTTTGCATGGAATTCATTTTAAGAAATGATGATTGGTTCTTCCCTCAGCCTTTTGGGAGAGTATTTTAATTACTTTCTTGAGATATATGATAATAAACTGAAGTACAGCTGCTAAAGAAAAATTACAGTTTTTGTTACATTCAGAATTTGCTTCTCCACTCATCTGCATGCAAACTGTTGCTAATGTAAACATCTTCTTTTATAAGATGTTGTGAAATACTACAAAGGTACGATTTACAGGTAAAATAAATTGTAACATAAAAGAAAGCACAAGCCTTCAAAAAGATCAGGTTTTGTGGGACCTCATTGTCTGGGAGGGTCCTGTGAGTCAGTGAGATGTCTTGCAGATGGTTTTCACATCTGGATTCTTTTTACAGTTGAGGTCTTTGATCTGAAAATGTTACAACTCTCCTATGCCCTGTGATTTGTCTGGCAAGATGAGTTATTTACAAATGCAATTGCTCTTCTGACAACTCAGTTTTGAGTGTGTAAGTGCTGAGGTCCTGATCTGTAACCCACGAGGACTGCTGATAGTCCTTTTATTGGTTTCAGCGGGCTTTGATTCAGATATTTGGACTTTGAAGCACCCCCAGGTGCATTAGGTAAAAAAAAGCTTTTTACAAACAATTATAAGTTAAAAGATTTAGGATGTGATGTGTCTGAAATAATTTGATGGTATTTCAAAGGCTTGTGAATTTAAATAAGTTTCTGATCTTTGTGTCTTTTCTTTTATTCCTCCAGTGGCAGATGAAAGCAAAGTTGGTTTGTTGGCCGGACACAAATCGGGTAAGCAGTTCTCCTGTTTTGGAGGAAAAGTCAGCAACTTGGAAATCGTATGGGCAGTAAATTAAATCAGTTTACAGAAACTGTGGTGACTGAAAGAGTTGCAAATTAAGGCATTACTTTGTATGCACTGACTCCAAGTTGTACAGTGATGAATTAGGGATTGTTCTTTGCCAGCCAAACAGTGCATGTAGCTGACTCATTTGCAGGAAGAGCTGTAACTTTATTTTTCCGTGCAAGTGTTGTAAACTGAAGAAGACTCCCCTTTAAATAAGTGCATGTACAATGTGTCTTTTGGAGCATGGAGACAAATGATGCACATTTTGAAAAATATAAATATTTCTTGCTTTTTCTTCTTGCTCTGAGTTCCACTTACATTCCCAGGAATATTGAAGGTAACATTAAAAAATTCTACAGCTTACAAAAAGAATGTCAAAGCTTTTGCATTCATTGGGCTTGTGCGGTAGAAATAACTTGTTTCTTCTAAAACTTTTCAGGCCATAGTAATAAACTAAAGTCAGCCTATACTGCTGTCATTACTGTACCTACTTATTAAATAGGGTCTGGAAACCACACCATGGTACTGTTCAACTTCCAGCTTTTGTATCAAAAAAATTGTCAAGGAAATGTCACATAAAATTGTAATTTTTCACAAGCCACAGGTAAGCTGACATAAGAAACCTTAAACTTTCTAGAAAAGTTATTCAGCAATCTCTTCTGATGCTTGAAAACCCTACAGTATCAGGCTGCTCCTTTTGTAGTGTGATTGCACATTGCCTTTTTCCACTCACTTGATAGAACTAAAAAGCAGAATTCATGTAAAGGAAGGTCAACTATGAGATTCCTGATTGTTTATAGTATTCCTCCCTGTACAGCTGGGTGTAAAGAAGGCTTTAGTTCTCTAGTGTGGATTTTACTTATCTGAAGACCTTTTCATGAACTTAACAAACAAATTTTTTCTTTCTGGCATCTTTCCTATGTCAGTGAACTTCTTGGATTCTCTTTCTGAATCGGGAGTAGTGCAGATGTCTTGTAATATTATCACTCCTGGGGAGAAAAAAATTCATTCAACCTTTTGTTTTGAGAATGTAAAAATGTCAGATGATCTTGTCAACTTGAAGAAGCTGCAGGGTGGCCCTTGGCTTTTTCCTCTGCAGAAAAATTACTACAAATGTTGAAATATCATGAAGTTTTTCAAAGATCACTGGAATTCACTGCTATCAAAGAATATTGTAGGGAAACTTGGTGAGATCACAACTCTTTGGCAATCATTTGTTATGGGTACATTAAGCTTTATAATATCACTTTTACACTCATTTGATCTTTCTTCTGCACACTTCTCCAGAATCTTGAAAATCGTGGCTTTGAAAAGTTTTCTATTTGAAGACACCTACAAATTTTATGTGAAAACATGGATCCATGCTTATTAAACTTTGACTTGTTTCCTTTACTTACCTTTCATAGGCCTCTTACGTGTACCTAGGATCTTTTTTCATTGACTAAATTCAGGGGTCAATAGATCACCTAAGAAATAGTTACAAAGACCCTACAGGTTGGAATATTTCCCCCTCCCTTCAGAATAAAAAGAGTTAGCTAACTTCTGAGAAGGTTGGGTTGTAAATGATTTTTCTTGGTTCTTTAAATGCTGTTCAATTACTGTTGAAACATGTTTCTCCCCTCTTTGTGTTCTGTTTCCTAACCCTTCATAAAGAGAAATCAAGCTGCAGTTTCAGCTTTCTCATGGTTCAATTCAAATATTTATTTTAAAGGTTTGTTCAAGAACATGGTATTCTTTTTCTCTGGTCCCTTTTTACTGTATGTTTTTTGGAATTACATATCATACACACATTTTGCTGGCATTCAGTCACATCACCAAACCAATGTTTCAGTATCGTTCATTATGCTGCCTTCCTATAGGTACCTTTTCCAAGAACACACTAAGGGAGTCGGAGTCATTGCAGCTTCTTGTGGTGGGAGCAAAACACCATTATTTTCTCATTACAGAGCAGAGAGTTTCCATCCTATTCTAGACTTCAGGAAATTAAACATATTTCTCTACAGAATTAATTATCACCTACCAACAATCAATGCAATTATCCCTTCTCTCCTTCAACATGACTTGTTCTATGAAATACGCAGTCGAGTAATTCTCTCTAGGGAAATATCCTTTCTGTTCCTTCTGGGGCAGTGGCTTTTCAAGCATATAGTCTCAGCTTTATGTGTAGCTGCTGTATCCCTTGCATATTACGTGTTAGCAGCAGCAGGAGTTAGTCGTGTGTATTCATTTCAAAAAGCGTTATCACAAGTCTGCAGAAGACCAAGGCATTAGAAGGATCTGTAGCTGTAGCCCCATCTGTCTTTTTACATGTTGCACCCACAATTGCAGCAGGGTTTATTTTTTTCTTCCTTAAAAAGTCAATTTGATTTTTAGAAGCATGTCTAGAAACATCCTGAGCTTGTAAGTGTTCTATGGGAAGATGGCTGGAGACTTGTTTCTGTATGTCACCCTCACAGAAATGCATCTGTGTCTTCCGGTTCTCATAGCTGGCTTGTCCTTCATCCTGCTGGGTGGAACACTTCAGCAGTGCTTACAGGTGTTCTTAGTGTTGCAAATATTTCCCACAATCATAGAATCATAGAATAGTTAGGGTGGGAAAGACCTTAAGATCATTAAGTTCCAACCCCACTGCCATGGACAAGGACATCTCACACTAAACCATGCAACCCAAGACTACATCCAACCTGGCCTTGAACACCGCCAGGGATGGAACATTCACAACTTTCCTTGGGCAACCTATTCCAGTGCCTCACGACCCTCACAGTAAAGAACTTCTTCCTTATATCTAACATGAATTTCCCCTGTTTAAGTTTTAACCCGTTACCCCTTGTCCTATCACTACTAATAAAGAGTCTCTCTCCAGCATCCTTATAGGCCCCCTTCAGATACTAGAAGGCTGCTATGAGATCTCTACACAGCTTCTCCAGGCTGAGCAGCCCCAACTTTCTCAGCCTGTCTTCATGCGGGAGGTGCTCCAGTCCCCTGATCATCCTCGTGGCCCTTCTCTGGACTTGTTCCAACAGTTCCATGTCCTTTTTATGTTGAGGACACCAGAACCGCACACAGTGCTCCAAGTGAGGTCTCACGAGAGCAGAGTAGAGGGGCAGGATCACTTCCTTCGACCTGCTGGTCACACTCCTTTTGATGCAGCCCAGGATACTGTTGGTTTTCTGAGCTGCAGAACCACTGGCAAAAGCACTGGAGTGCCGGATTGATGTAGCCTAGGTGGCCCTTTCTGGAAAAGACCAGAGTTCAAGTATTTGTGTGCAAGGCATCTTCTCTGAATCCTCTGAGAGGCCTTTGTCCTCTGCAAACCTTCCTGTGTGCTCAGCAATGGTGTGTCCACATTTCCTAAACTTAGTTCCAGACAAGTGGTGCCTCTGTTACAAAGCAAAGAAAATCCCTGAAAATTCACAGAGGTGAAAAATCAGCAAACTTCACCTTAGTTTCTCAGGAACTCTTAGCTTTTTAGAAAAGCAATTCCAGGGCAGCTAAGAGGATATCAATAAGGAAGGGCAGGAATGTTGTACCTTAAATATAACCTGATTTGTATCAAATACTGAAATCAAGTACTCAATTATTTGTGGCTATTTTTAATTATTTTTTTCCTTATATTCTTTTTTTGTGTTCTGATTTACTGCTTAGAATGCTTTTAGTATGTATTGACTGTCTGCTGAGGTCTCTTGCTGACACAGCTCTTTCAGATGATGCAGTGCTGGAGAAAAGCTGATGAGTCTTTCTTTATGAGCTCTGACATATTAATTAGCAAAATGGGCAAAAAAAGCTTTCCTATTTTTATTTTAATGTCACTAGACCATGCTTTTGGCTGGGGCTACGTTTCGAGACAGTTTTGAGACAAGATGAGTTGAAGATCTTATTTCCTTGCTGGCTGCTTCATGAGGAACATGTGATGGGGCTATGGATTAGTACTTGCAAGACTGAGTGATACAGGGCTAGCTCTTTTACCAAGCTGAATTTGAATTAATGCTATGTGGCAAGAGATAGGCTTAGGACCTGAGCAGGAAAAAAGCCTACTGGGGTAGCTTGACAGATGCTTCTGGTCAAGTTCTGCCCCTTACTGTTAATTTTGCTGATGGGGTGGTTACCAGGTTAATGTTCAGCCTATGGGTAGGTTTAGCCTTCTGAGAAAGAAGGCTTGAAGAGGTGGATGTACAGCTAAAGCCTGCAAAGGTAAGGGCTTTATGAGATTCAAGTGCTGATATATCTGGTAGGCTTCCAGTCTGTACTGCTTCATGTATGGATAACTGAGTTGTGGTTAAGATAGGATTCAGACCGGGACTGGAGATATTTGGGAATAAGGTAGGTTAAAGGTCTTGATGTATCTCTGCATCATTTAATACCAGGATGTATTCTGCATTAAATAAATTTTACTGAGGTTTCATTAAGGCCAGGATGAGCATTATGTCTTAGGACCCAGGAGTGGTTGAAAAATTAGGGGTATTCATAGATTTTTTTTATATGACCCACTGAAATAGGATATGGAAAGTGCAACAGGTTAAGTGTTATCATTGCCTTCAGGAAAGGTTCTCCAGCCTATTGTAGGAATCATGGTTGCAATGTAAGTCTGAGACACTAAGGTTGCACTTACACAAGTGTAAACTGAATGTCCCTTTTGGCTTTAAGGTTGGGCAACACAGGATGATCCTCATCTGTGCTCTGAGCCTCTATTGCAAGATGGCTTCAGGCTGCCTCTGGAAGCTGTGCCTGCTACATCCTAACTCTTAAACCATTTCTAGGAAGTGTCTGTGAGAGCAAAATAGCTTTTGCATAGCGCAGGTGATTGCATTCTAGTAAACTCAGGTGTACCCAGCCACTGCTATATCTGCAAATATAAACATAACCGGGGGGTTGGAACTTCGTGATCTGAAGGTCCTTTCCACCCCTAACTGTTCTATGATTTTAAGAACTCTAGCTTAATTTTTGC